CGCGCCACAGCGACTGCGGCGCCGAGCTGGGCCTGCTCCCTGGGGGCTGCCACCGCCCCCGGGGCTGCACCGGGCTCCGGCTGGGCAGGGGGAGAAGGGACTTGGCGGAGGGACACACGGGACACTGCGTTAACGCAAAATTTTGCAGAAGGAGTTGATTTCTTGCTCTGTTTTTCTGTAAAATGATGGTACCGGGCTGGCTGGTGCAGGAGGTCTCATCTTTGAGGCTTTTGAGGGCACCAGCAAGTTCTCCACACAGCTCTGCCGCAGACCCCCTTGGGCATCAGTGCTTGGACACTGGGAAAGGTGTTGGGACATGAGGGCACACTCTGCCAATCGAATCATGGACTTAGTTGGAAAAGACCTTTAGGATCATCGAGTCCAACCATCCCCTGTCCACCGCTAAACCACCCCATCTCCCTGTACTTTCAGTGCCTGCAGGCTCAGTGCGTGGCGCAGGGGACAGCCCTCCTAGATTTGTCTCTTCTGCTGCAAATTGTCCAGATAAAAACTTCATTTTTTTCTGAATGTGTCGGTTTGCACAGCTCAAGTAAAACCAGGAAGCAATTAAAAAGCACCGGACATGTGAGAAAGCAGAGTTGTGTTGAAAAATCGTGAAGTTCTGCAATGCAGCTGTTACTCTGCCCGTGCAGTTTTATATATATATGCTTGTATAAAAATTACACAGTATCACCTAAGCTAACCTGAAGTAAAATGGGATGAAGGGGAAAAAAATTTTCCTCTTTAGCCTGGTGTCTACTTGGGTTTTCTTCTTTTAACTCTCAACTCATTGACAAAAGAGCAGAAAAATAGCAACATTTTTTGCAAGTATTTCAAAGCATATTACTTCAAATCTATTCTATTTTACATGGCTCAGTTAAATTAGCCAGCTGTATCCCTCTAAATATAATTAGTAAAATATGAAGAAACAGATATTGTGAGGAATATTTTAGATTTATTATGTCATTGCTTTGATTCGTAAGTTAGACCTGCTTGACATAAAACTCTTCAGATAAAGGCATGGGTTCATTTCCATGGTCAGGATTATAGATTAGCAATGAATCCAGTAAGCATCGCAGTCTACACCTAAAGATTATACAGGAAATATTTAAGACGTGTTTGTATGTAATGGGTCATTCACAAGATATGATCAGTCATTTAATGCTTCTGTTTCGATGCGTGTTAAATTCTTAGTGGGCTTTGGCACCAGTTTTGCCTTTAGAAATAGGTGATGAAATGGGAGTAATTTATACAAAGCTTGCGGGCAAGTTACTTTGCCTTTCATCTGATTCTCTGCTGTTCCTCATTATTGTGTGCGGGAAATTTTGGGGTGGCATCTGAAGGATTAATACACGGGGCATTTCTAAAGTGACGTTTCAAATTATTGCTAACACAGATTAATTCAGTATGAAAACAGCTATAAAAGCTGTGTGTGTATGTATATGTGTGTGTGTGTATATATATATATGTATATATGAAGATGTGAATATAGCTGGGAAGTGTAAAACCTGAAATCATCTCTGCAGGACAGCGGGGGGGTCCCTGGCTGCGGGTGCATCCGTGGAGGTGGTGACAGGGGTGGTTGTTGTCACTGCTGCCAGAGTCCCCTCTTTGTACAGAACGGCCTCAACAAGCCCTAACACGAGATTTACTTCATTTTTTTCGCTGTAACACGGTAAAAGACTCGCTGTGCAATGAGTTAGTATTGATTTTTTTTTTTTTGTCTGTAGCCTCTTAGCTTTCTGACTCCATTATTTTTGATTTTACTATGAAATACATATCCTTTCTACTGACATCTGACAAACAACATATGGAAGTCGTTTTATCTACCAATAATGTGTTTGTCAAAAAAAATCCTGCGCTAATGGCTTGTGCTTCCTCCAGTCCATTTTCCCCAAGTTAATGTCACTGATGTAATTCTAAACATTTAGTGATTTTTGCCCCCTTCATAATTTGTCATTCCCGTAGGTTTGTGTAAGATTCGCATAAGATACTATAAGAGTCTCTTACAAGTATCCCTTTAAGCAAGGGATTTTTTCCTGCTACTTGCTCATCTGAAGTGCCACCTGCTTGTCATTAACGGGCTGAAATGAGGTTTTGGTGGTTACAAGTCACATTTTTCTTGAGCAAAAGAGAAAGTATTTTGCAGTGTATGTGTATAGCTACGTGAATTTTAATTTAGAATTTTGTATACAGAGAAAGAATGTGGTGCATCTGAATAATTCTGCAAGCTCGTTTGGTCTGCAGCACTTTTCCTGAGTTTAAATATACTTTGGTTTCTTTAGAACAAGAAATTTAACCTTTTAGACATACATATGTATGTACTACAAATATATAATTACAGTTGCTCTTTTATTTATATTTCTGTTTTAAGTAGTGTTTATTCTTAAGTATTCGTGAAGTTTTCGATCAAACTTCACGGTTCTCCGCAGTTGCTTTTTGGCACCAGACCCCTCATTCCCCCACTTCACCTCCATACAAGCAGGAGTGGTTTTACTGCTGCCTCCGGGTGGTTCTCCACCGAGTTGTCTGCTCTGTCCCCAAATCCTGACCTTCTCCAGGCAGTTCCCAAGCCACAAACCCAGCCGTTGTCCTGCGAGGACACCCCTGGCAAATCCTCACGTGAGCGTCTTGAACGGTGCCACACGTTGAACAACAACGGCCAACTCGCCGTTGTTATTTTCACTGAAGGAGAGAGGTTTTCTTTGCACCAGAGTATTTTAGGCTGCGTTACAAGTTTCTTTTCTGGTTCGTGCTGCTGTAAAATATATTCAAGGCATCGCTTAGACGCTGCATTTATCGTCGGCTTAGACTAATGCATCCTGACATTACACCTTCTCTTTGTAGACCAAGCCACCCTCATCGAGCAAGTGAAGCGAGTAAAAGAAATTGAAGCTATTGAAAGTGACTCCTTTGTTCCGCAGACGTTCAGATCAACGAAAGACGTCAAAAAGGTAAGTTTTCAATATCCTTTCTTGGTGCATAATCCTTTCAAAGTCGGGTGGAATCTGCGCTATTAATACAGTTTCCATTGATGAAAGAGCATCCGTGTTGACAATCCTAAATGCCACCGACAACTCCTACGTTCTTGGTGCGGTGTTCAAAGAACACAGTTAAATGGGTGAGGATGGCAATGAATCCAGCTGTTTTGACTGCACGTTCTACCTATGCCAAGCAACTCCGACTTTAAAAAAGTATTTAAAATTGTATAAAACCATATTATTTTTTAAAGCAGAATTAAAATGCAAAAGTAATCAGGCATTTACATTGTAGGTAAGAGTAGGGATCAGTGTTTCTAATTTTGCTTAACTGAAGCCAGACTTTACGAGCATATTTACTGAAACAAACGGCATTGTTTTCAGACAGCTTTCCAAAAACCTAACGTGAGACATCCAGGTTTTGGAATTTTACCCACGCTTTGGCTGCCAAGGCTTCCAGGGAACTCGGACACTTTTGTCTTTGGGAGTATGAAAGCAAAGGTTTTATTCAGTTTTTCCATCCAACAGTGAGGTGTTTTGAATTATCACTGGTTTTTTTCCCCAAGAATGTGCATTTTCTTGCCTTTTCAGAAGTCTCCAAGAAGTTGAAGTGATGCAAAGACCCAAAGCTCTGTGAGCCCTCCCATTGCCTTTGGCAATACGTTTTCTTTCATTGCATGAGTTTATTCTGGACCTTAGAGGACCAACGTGTGGAGGAGTCTTTGCACAGGGATCCTTTGGTGGACACGTGTTGCAGTGGGCAGAAGGCTGAGTGTTTGGTGAAGATACTGCCACGTTTGGGAGCTTGAGGATCAAGTACTCAGCTGTGTTTCTTTCTTTGCAGTCCGTGGAGCCGACTGAACTACAATACGAACCCGTAACCATCGGAGCAGGAGCTGTCGATGCATCTGCTCCTGAAAAAGAACCCCCGCCTGCCAATATTCCTACTGCCATCAAGTATCAAGATGATAACTCCTTAGCACATCCAAACGTGAGTGTGCCTGTATTTCCTTTATCCTTAGAACAAGACAGCCTGTTGAATGGGAGCAGGTTCGTGTCACCGAACAACCTTTTTGCTGTGCTGCTCATCAAATCATCTGTGGTCTGGAGACCGTTGGTGAATGGGGCACTCATTGGCTCAAAAAGCATCGCGCTCCTTGCATCATCCAACAGAGAATAATTACAGCAGCAGTTCAGCAGTGATGTAGTTGTAGTTACAAAGTCACGTACTAATTGAATGCAGGGGAATTTAAGGTCCTGTTCATATAAAACTTCCTGTTCAATAAAAATTCAGGGAAGATTGCTTTTGGTTTCTGTAGTTGGAAACCTGGACTCAGAACTTGCCCACCTTGCCAAATGGTAAAGCTTTAAATACATGACAAGTTTAGGATAATTTTAAGCCATTGTGGCCAAACTTACGCAAATTCTTTGTGAGCACTTGCTCACAATTGGAAACAGGAGCACTTAGAGTGGTTTTTTTAAGAATTAGCAAGTTAAAAATGACTGGCAGCAAATAAACTAATGCGAGTTGTGTATAATGAACACAGCTGGTGCAGATCAAGACCTGTACAATATGACGAACCTGCTGTTGCAGAAGGAGACGGACATGGGAATGTCTCAGCTTTCCAATTATTAAGAATCCCTACCTTTACTAACATAATTATATCACCTTGGTATCTTAACACCCCGATGCAGCTCAGCTTTTTCTTTAGGCACTGAAATATTTGAGACATATTTGAACAGATGATAACGAATAAAGAGAGCGTTAATGAGCTGTGCCCGCTTCCCTTCCTCAGCTGTTTATCGAGAAGGCAGAAGCAGAAGAGCGGTGGCTTCAGAGGCTGATCGCTCTCCGCCAGGAGCGGCTGATGGGCAGTCCAGTGGCCTGAGCAACCTGCTGTGACCATCACGTCCCGGTTCTCCATGAGTGCTAAGAAATCAACCATCAGATTGTTTTATTTTTCTCTTTCGAGGGGATTTTAATAATCATGAGTTGTACAGAGAATAAATATTTCATCTGAATTAACAAGAATGTTCTACCCTCTGTTTTTCTCCTGAACACATCGACTTGCAGCGCTGAGCTACCCGAGGAGAAGGGAAGCCTATCAGAGCACTGTAATTTTGGGGTTTTTTGTACTGAATTCCTCTGAGGTGCAGAAATCCCGACAGCCCAAGGAGATGTAATTCTATACATCCCAATCAAAAAAAAATACACGTAACTGTGTATGAAGATAAATGAAAGAGTCAGACTGTCATTGCAGCGCTCGGACAGGAGTGGGGGCGATCCCAGCCTGGGCTGCTCCTCCCCTGCAGCTGCAGGAGGATTTGGGGCAGACGTCGCTGTTGTCTCCTCTTCCTTCCCTTCCACGTCACGGGAGCGGCTTTCGAACCCTGAACACGTGTGGGTGCTCTCTGAGCTGGTGGATCCAGCTGCTGGATCCTGGTGGGTTTGGGTGGCAAGCACTGGTTTACATCTCCATCAACATCAGCCCACTGCTGTCAGCATCTGGGAGCAGGCGTAAGGAAAAAGTTACCTTACCCTGTTCAACAGGTTGGTGAAGTTTTCAGCGGGTTTCAAGAAATCCTATTTTCTGCGCAATTTTAAGCGCATTAAAGTGTTCAATAATCTGGAAAAGGCAGCTTCCTATGAACTCTTAACGGGAAATAATATAGAAATATTATTGTGTGTAATGGTACAGGACTAATGGCATACCTATTTCTGTACAGAGTGACTGTTTCCAGTCTATGAAGCTTCCATTTGTCAAGGTTTGACTTTAAAATAATCAAAACCAGTCCTATTTGAATGTATCAAATTTACCCTGAGTATACTTACAAGAAAAGCTGTCCATCATCCCATTCAATGCCAGAGAGCAACCAAATAAAATACAAAAGTGTTTATTCTGAGGGATCTAGCAAAGCTGCGAGAAAACTGTTCAGTAAGTAGAAGACTGAAATAAGCCCCCCTCACTGGACATGACCTGCATCAGCTTTCCAGTGTGAGTGAGGAAATTAATGTAGCGTTCCTTTCTCTTGTCCTCAAATTGTGGTGAAAAATAATGTAGGATGATTCTGGAAATGTACTTGGGTTGTCTTCTTTTTTTTGTAGATCACGGATGTAAAAGGAAAATGTCTTAGATTCGCATTCCAACGCATTTTTACGTTGTGGTTATGAACGGTGTTAGTTTTACCTGGTCCTGCATTAAAAAGGCAATCTGTGTTTCAAGACGACTTTGTCTGCAGCGAGAAGTGGAGCAAAAATTGTTTCCCTTGTTTCATGTCGGCGTTTTCAAATGGTAAATGTTTGTCCTTGTTCTGCCTTCTCATCTCCTACTGTGCTGCTTTTGTAGTAAATAAAAACGATTTGGTCTCCATGTAAGGTGCAGGTGTAAATTCCTCTTTTTCACACATTGTGTTGGATAATTCTGGTCTTTTTATTTGAAGCAAAATGATTGTTTTTATGCAATTTGCAACCCTATAGGATATTAAAAAATTCTACAAGCTGGTCTGTTATAAGTAAATAAGACTTAGTGGTAGGAATGAGGTGTACCTACTGTTGCTTCTTAACCCATAACTGAATTTATCCAGCAAATCCTTGCCAGACGAGAATTGTGAGTAAGATCTGGAAAGAAAATGGAAAGAGCGTTTAGATGATCTGACTTGAATAGAAATGTGTATTTAAATATGCCAAACATCATTTGAAACGTGGAGCAAATCATTATACAGTAGATTTTTAGTTTTATTTTTGTAGGGTTGTAAGTGTAACTGTTTTGAGCGCAGCGCTCTTGATTCAGGGTGTGTAAACTGTCTCCTTATTTTGCTTGTACTCGAATAGCATCCTGCGATAAATTGTGCATTTTCCTGTCAAAGGTAGGCAGCTCTTTGAGTATCAGAAATGAAACGTGGAAAAAGGCAGCCACATCACAAATAAACTCCACTCTGTAACCAGCTATGCACGACTAAAGAGAAGTTTGACAAACTCGCTGCTCAATATCAGTTTACAAGGTTTGAACCGATCACAAAAGGGTTGTGGCCAAATCCTTGCGCACTCCACCGTGCCATGTGTGGGGCCTTTTTGCTGGCACGTGTTACCTGATCAGCCAGATAGGAATTTAATTAACTGTGTCCTAACAGGACATGAAAGCCCCATCAATGTGGACAAATTAATCCTCATTAACCTGGGAAGATGCCCTGCTGATTCTTAACCCTCGCTTCTGATCCAAACAAGAGGGACACATTTCAACACAGGGACACAGTAATCCGACTTTCTTTGGTTTTTACTCCTACAGTCTTCTGACGTTCTCACATTTAAGAGTCCTGCCTAAGGTAAGTGTATTTTTTGGTTGTATGTTCCACTTTGCTCCATGCTCCTGGTGAAAAGGAATGGATTCCTGACTGAGAAAGGGAAAGAAACAGCTGTTTGTTCGTTATCCAACTAAAATACAGGACTTTTAGCTGCGTTTTGGGGTCTGCAGAGAGCAGTGCCGTGGATTTGTCTCTCAGGACTGGTGACGAGGTGTCTCTGATACAATCGGCTCCAACACCAAGTTCCTCCTAACGCCAAGCTACCTTAAATCTGACTCAGCCTGGAGCGCAGGAGTGAGGAGATAACGCTGTAACCGGAGCCATTCAGAGCCCTGGTAGTCAGCAGAGACCTCTACCCCCAGAAATTACATTAGCAAACTCATTGCACTTAGCCTGCAGAGCAGCCACTGCCGATTAAAATCAAAGCAGGCTCATTTTGATCTGATAACTTTTGGGTAAAATGTTCACTGGCCCTTTCTGATTTCTTGAGTCAGCCAGCATCTCCACAACTCTTCTGTTTATTGTGGTAATTGCTTGAAAAGGGGCTCTGTTCAGTTTTTAAGCTATGATTATTGTTACAACGTTTGAGAAAGTTTTTGCTGCTAAAATAATGGTATCGAAGAAAACATTGCCAGCCAGGAGATCAAATGTTGCTACTTGTGCTTCAGTCTCTCTGATACGAGGACTGGATGATCCCAAAGGCCGGTTTTCCATCAGTAACCCAAAACCAGCCTTCTCCATGATTACCATTTTCCATTTGTTAAGTTACACGAAGGAAGTTATTTTTAGTGGAGATCCTTGAACTCTAGAAACCTGTTTCAGGACAGATCGGCCTGAACCCACGGCTTAATCCATGTATGACACAGGGCTGGGCAACTCTTCAGCTTCCAGCAGTAACAGAAAGTAACGTTGGAGGTATTGTTGCTCCAGATTTGAAAATATTCACCATTTGTAACTTTGAATTAGTGCAACATTGCTTAATTTCCTTTTTTCCTGACTGTTCCCTTCCTTTCGTGTCTCCTTCCTTTGCCAAGAGCTAAGAAAAAAGAGCAGCAGTGGCGGGGCCAGATTGTGTGACGCTGGGGAGCAGGACTTAGCCCCTGAGTCACTCTGGAATTGCCACTGCGGGTGCGATGTGACACGAGACGCGATGTGACACGAGGTGTCCGCTCCTGCTGGGAGGGAGCAGAGGCTGAGGCCCAGCCTGGAGCGGGCAGGAGGGAGCTCAGTGCTAACGCCAGCGCCAAGCTGGAGGTGTCAGCTGGAAACGGTTATGCCACAGTTGAAACCCAGGTGAAAATGAAAATCGCTACTTAGCTATGGTTTGGCTTCTTCACAAATCCCATGCAGCTGGGGGCTGTGTGGTTGCAGGGACAGTGATGATCTGAGAAGCCTTTTGGTCCTTGGGCACCATTTTTAAGGTGCTGTTTTGAGAAGGCTGCGGTTTAAAAGGTGTCGCTGCCACGGTGCAAATCTCCTTCCTGATAGATGTCTCTGCCGTCCCGGCGTGGGTGTCACTGACACAGCAGTGGCTCTCTCAAAATGCCGTAGAAATGAGATGTGCATGGTCTGAATTGGCCTTTTTACTTCCTAAACAGTGCTGGAGGCAGGGTAACAAGACATTTCAGTTTGCCTCATAGTTTTCTGTTGCCTTACAATCTATGTCTTTTCAAATAAAAAATACTCCAAATATTTACTGTCCATGCAGCGCAGTCCCCGGGGGAGTTTATAGGAAGGACAAGTGGGCTCTTCCCAAAAATCAGGTTCCTGGGGTGTGCACCCATGGGGTGATGGGAGGGACAGGCACCTTCCTACCACGCTGCAGGGCTCCGCATCGCTGCAGGCAGCGGCTGGGTTCCCATGTTATAGTTCTGAAGGGAAAACAAGAACAAATCAAATTAATTACAGCTGACACTTGTAGAAACGTCAGCTTGCATATTTGGATACTTTTTCAGTGAATTTCAAAGTGGTCTTTTTTTTATAAGTTATTGTCAGCCTATTTCAGTATTCATACAAGTTACAGAGCTGGGCAGCTATGTGAATCGAATATATATTCCAATAAAATATTAATGTAAACGTTATTACACATCTAACTCTAGTTGCTTGCAGTGGAACGATGCTTTCATCTGACATTTAGGAACAATTTTTAACAAACTGCCTTTGCAGAAGAGCCTGCACTGGGCTGGCCTTACAGATGAAGTGTAATCAGCTTCGTAACAGCACCGGCAAGGCTGTTACAGGCTGCCCAGAGAGGTTGTGGAGTCTCCTTCTCTGCAGACATTCAAAACCCGCCTGGACGCCTTCCTGTGTAACCTCATCTGGGTGTTCCTGCTCCGGCAGGGGGATTGGACTGGATGAGCTTTTGAGGTCCCTTCCAATCCCTAACGTTCTGGGATTCTGTGATTCTGTGAAGAGGCCGCTTTCACTAAAAAGATGCTTCAGCCTCTGGAAATTGCACTGCATCCTGAAGCCTACCTGTAAAAGGACTTAACTGGAAGGAGTACGGATACCTCAGTTATGCCAATACATTTTAAATGTAAATAGTAACTGCTGATCCTGACAAAACTGACTGGGGGTTGAGCACCGA